TTTTCTCTCTCCTTATCTCTCTTATCCCTTGCTTTCAATGAATGTCTTCTTGTTATATATTAATTATTGATAATAATATTGCTTTTTTGGCGAATTAGCACTATTTGTGTCTGGCGTGACCGATTAGGAGTGCATGGTGCACGTCCCTTATATTTTTTCTTGCCAATGGCATTCGCCCTATGGGGTCCGATCAAAAATCTGTTCTTTTTCATATTGCTCTCAACATTTCAACCTTTGAGTTGCAGTCCTTCATTGGTAGGTGGGGTGCCAGATTCGCGCATCTACGGGTCATGTATAGGTTTATCAGACTGTGGGATTTGAAGAGGCGACTGTATATCCAACGCCTAATCGATGAAATGGTCCGATGAGTCAAGAACGTTAGTAATGTAGACTGCCAATGTCAGATAATGGAACCGAGGGGCACAGATCTCAATAAGGCGACCCGCCCTGAAGCGAAGGGCCTGCAGAGGAACCAGCGATCACGGCGATCAGAGCGTAGTCGTAATGATCAAAGATTACTGAAAGAACGGGCCTGTCAACAGTCAAATCCTTTCGATCAAAGGTAGATTATGACTGCGCGGGAAACAAGTGCTATAAAAGGAGCTCTGGTGCTGGTAAGGTGATCATGTTCTTTTCCAAGCTTTTCCATATTTCAACATTTATTGAGGTTTCGTTAGCTTTACTGGCCCCGACTCGCATTGGCGACATCCTTAGAGTTACTGCTGATTAACACTGTGTGTATTTACTGGCCGATATGTTCCACGTGAAGAGTCGGCGGAATCTTTCACATTTTATTCCCACTTCCTATACTAGTTTTACTTTCTTGTTTTTTTTTGTTCCTGCTTGTTGTATTGTGTTGTTTCGAAACTATTTACGGCGAGTACCGCATATTGGCGTTTTCCGTTCGTAGTTATTGTTATACCGCACTTTCTGTTGACTTTCCTATGGAAACCCACACATGGTTAGACTCAGCTCGTCACGTCGCATTCGATGATATCATTGAATAGGAAAAAAACCTGAAACAGACAATGATTGGTATTCTCGCAGCTGTCGTCAAATGTTGCGGCGGTAATTAGGGGTTCCGCGTGAAGAATCCGGAGCGAGACTATGTGGACGACGCGCGAGAACATTTGATGGCATTTACGAAAATACCATTCATTAGTTGACTTAGAACGTTTTTTTTCACATCGAAGGGTATCATCGAATGCAACGTGACGAGCTGATTCTAATCATATGTGTGTCTCCAAATACAATCAATTACTAAGAAAGAAAAAAGTTGATGGGATCTACATCATAACAAAAAAGAAACAGAAAACCGGACTGGCGTTTTGTTTGTTGTTCTGCTTAACTCTCTTTGTAACCCCTGGCTCACAAATTCCTTTATCACATCTCCCAGTAGTGGATATCATCCAGTGCAAAGAAAAGAATACGAAAAACAACAAAAACACGGAAGAAAAACTCTTGAAAAGGAAAAGAAACTTTCAAAAACTCGGCGTCCGAATTTAGGGTTACGGTAGCGTGCATCTTTTAGTGTAGTGTAGTGCGTCGAGCTTTTGCACCAATTGGGTCGATTTTTACGCCTTTTACCTTGCGAGATGGGTTGGAGTTGACTGTATGTGCTCCAATGAATAAAATGTAATAAAGGAGAGCAGAATTCATTCATGGGCACGAGCGCGGTCAGCAAAAAGACATGCAATTCCGATTAATGCCCGCCGCCCCAACAAAGAACAACTGAGCGGCCTCCGTCGGAGGGCATCTAGCAAGTGGGCGGTCCAACTGGGCGGGCGTTAGAACTAGAACTTTCAGCGGCTGTTTTCCGCCAGTTCTCCCATTCCTATAAGAGGATGCTTCTCATAATAATCATATATACTTCAACCAGCGAAAAAACATACACTGTCAGATTACAGTGGGCGGAACCC